CCTCCACTCCAATGGGACTGGAGAGAGGAGTGAAGGAGTGGAGAGGACTAGATGGAATTATTTCTCATTGGAGGAGAGGAGAGGAGAAATTCCATTGGTTTGTGAGGAGGTATAAAACCTCCTGCACACTCCTCTCCGGTCATTCCGACAATGTCATCACCCGTGTTCGACAACACAGTGATCTTGCCAACACCATCATACTCTACACCGGCCATTCTACCGCACCCATCCGAGATTCCAAGTCCAGATCTATTCGAGGATGAATCACCACCCTGCTCTGCCCAACGGATGGACGAACGCATCGCCAACGCGTTCGGACAAGAGTGGACTCCACCTCCACCTACGCCAGCAAAACAATATCAACCTTGGTGGAACACTGGTCACCAAAATCCCATACCCAGGTAAGTATGTCTTTGTCTACTGACCTTTGTTTAGGAAACGCCTGTTTCCAGATGAATCATCATCAACAACATCAGAAGACAATGCAGGTCCGGACAAGCTATGGACTTTCATTTACCGAGGTCGCGCACCAACCTTCAACTCCCATACGCGAATCAGTCTATTATGGGCAGACCACGAAGACCATTACCACTTCGTATTCAAGTGCCACCCAAACAACAAGAAAAGAACCATCCAACGAATCATCCAGGCAGGCAACCTGGATACCGCTCAATCAGTGTCAATATTCTCCACATGCCAACCGGTCATCAATTGGGACAAATTCGCAGCATACCTCGTGCGAACTAACCGAAATGCTATATTTAGCATCGGGTCCGAGCTCCAAAGTCTGGCAAATGACGCTCGATCAACAACACGAGCTGAACAGGACTGTGCAACATTGTTACGAAATGATCGTGCACAAGGCCAAAAGTTCACGAATCTCAAACGAAAAGCCAGAGTAGACTTAATCAAGGAACTCGTGGAAACCTATGACGCACGAACACTTGCGGAACTCAAAGACGCCTTGAGTTACGACGATCGTCTCAACCTTTACGCAGAACACGGCCCCAGTTGGAAAGAAACAGCCGAACTAACGTGCGAAGCGTATGTGGAGAGATTACGAAAAGAACAAGAAACCACTTCACTTCATGAATACATATCCAGAAACAACCATAGCCGGACGTGCCAAAAACCCAGATCAACAGAAGAAGGATGTCGCTGGCTAGACAGACTACTAGCCGTGAACAACATTGACAAAACCCGATTCCTAACACAAATAAGTAACATAATGAACAAAAGAGAACAGAGAATCAATGCCTTGGTTATTCAAGGCCCAACGACCACAGGTAACTTGTAATTATCCACTTATTCCTCCTCTCATAGGCAAATCTTTGATGTTAAATCTCCTTACGGAGAATTACATCTATGGAACAGTACAACGAAGCGGCGATCACAGCCAATTCTACTTGATGAATTTGCTGAACAAAGCTGTCGCCTTAATGGAGGAACCACGGATAACACCCTTGACAGTAAATGATTTCAAAGAACTTCTCGGGGGTCGACAATTCGACATCCACGTCAAGCATCAGCCTGACGCAAGACTCCGAAGACTCCCTGTACTGATTTCAACCAACACAGATATATGCCAATATCTCCAATCTGAGGACGCAAGAGCAATCAAAGCACGATGTTTTTACTACCATTTTACAGTTCCCATTCCTTCGGCTCTTCTACCTGAGCCACCTTGTATGATGTGCCTGTCATTTTAAGGCATGGTACTTAAACTGGTTTTATAATAAATAAATGTTTCCTTAAAACATACCTCAGTCTGCTCTTCAACCACCT